GGTACGGGGCAGCCGGCCGGGAGCCCCAGCCCAGCCCTCTCCCTCTCCAAGCCCCATACTACGCCGGCAACCCCGGGCCCGAGTCCCAGATCTCACCCTTCTGGGTCATGCCGCCTCCCGAGGTAGGCCGTCCAGCCGGGGCGTGTGGGAGGCCTTGCCTGGGGTCGGAGGGCCCTGCCGTGGGGAGGGGGCCGCCCTACCTCCCCGAGGCCCCCAGGGCTCTGGGTGTGCGGGGTGGCTCTCGGATCCCAGCCCGGGGAGTTCTCTGCTGCCCCGCGGCTGCTGAGCGCCCGTCCGGCCAGCAATCATGCCGCCTCCCGAGGTAGGCCGTCCAGCCGGGGCGTGTGGGAGGCCTTGCCTGGGGTCGGAGGGCCCTGCCGTGGGGAGGGGGCCGCCCTACCTCCCCGAGGCCCCCAGGGCTCTGGGTGTGCGGGGTGGCTCTCGGATCCCAGCCCGGGGAGTTCTCTGCTGCCCCGCGGCTGCTGAGCGCCCGTCCGGCCAGCAAAGGCCCAGCGACTACGGCATCCCCATGGACGTGGAGATGGCGTACGTGCAGGACAGCTTCCTGACCAACGACGTCCTCCACGAGATGGTGAGCCGGCGGGCTGCGTGCAGGCACGCCCTCGGGAGCCGGGGTCCCCTCCTTGGGCCCGGGGTCACCAAGTGGAGAAACAGGACTTTGGGTCACCCCAGATGAGCACTTTTTAAAACTATTTAATTTGGCCGGGGTGGGGGTGAGAAAGCAGGCTGCCAGAACAGCGCCACCTGCCGGTCCCCAGGTGAGCACATTTAATACCTGTGCTCAAACGGCGCAGCTAGTCACTGGGCCACACTGCATGCAGGCTGAGGCTGGGCGGGGCTGGCAGGCACCTCATGGCACCTGGTGGACTAGGGCCGTGATGGTGGGGGCTCTGGTGACTCAGGGCAGATTACGAAGTCTGTGGTGGTGGGGTGTGCATACTGGGGGGCTGCACCGTGGGGGACCTGGCGTGCCTGGGGGAGGGGCCTGGCACACAGGGGGGACCTGGCACACGGGGCTCAGCCCTGCACTGTGGGGGACCTGGCCCACGGGGCTCAGCCCTGTGGGGGGAGGTTTGCAGCCCTGGCCTCCCGCCTGTAGATGCTGCTGGTGGAGTTCTACAAGGGCGCCCCAGACCTCGTGCGGTTCCAGGAGCCCTGGAGCCCAGAGCACACCTACCTCGACAAGCTGAAGGTAAGCGCCCGTCCTGGACACCTGACATGTGGATCCCTGTGCAGCCGGTTGTCCAGGGAGGGCACAGGACAGGCTGGAGGGCCACACAGAGCTCGGGCTCCGGGCTCCGGCACAGCCCAGGTGGCTGGGACTGGCCCGCCTGGGAGCTGGCTCCTAGCAGTTCACTGGCCGTGGGCCCGCACCAGCTTCCTGAGCCTGGATCTCGCTCCCAGGCACGTGCACGCTCAACCCATCTCCTCTGTTTCCCGGTGGGGATTTTGGGCGGGCAGCACACGCCACACACACACACACACACACACACACACACACACACACGCCCTCCAGGCCCGTCCCTGTCCCAGCTCTGAGGGGGCCACGTGGATCGGGCCTTTGCTGGCCCGCTGGCAGGCTGCAGGCCTCCTTGCCATCTCTGCTTGAGCCCTTAGCAAACCCTCCCTTTACGGTAGAGGCCCTCACCTGCAAACACAGGCGCAGAGGCTGGTGGTGGGGCAGGCAGGGTGAGAGCAGACACCCCTCCCCCAAACCCACATGGCCTTCTGGGTCACAACCCGCCCCAGCCGGGGCCTGCGAGTGTGGGCAAGACCGCGGGGCACAGCCCGAGGTGCCGGCTCTGTGTTTCAGATCTCCCTGGCCAGCAGGACGCCCAAGGACCAGGGCCTGGGCCACGCGCTGGAGCAGGTCTACGGCGTTCTCAAGCAAGGGAGCTGAGGCCGGCCAGGCCCGCGCCAGCCCTCAGGGGACAGTGCCCTTGGGGACAGTGCCCTCGGGACGGAGGGAGGGCCTTTGCCGCTTTCATTCCTGCATGACAGTTGAGCTTGGATAATAAAGAGAAGCCACCAGCCCCCACTTGTGTCACCCTGGGGCAGGGTGAGGGCAGGCCTGGCTCCTGGGCGGGAGGGGCCCCACCTGTCCTCGGAGGACTGTGGGCACCCCGCCCCCCCCCCACGCCAGGACGAGGCAGAGGCCTGTAGAAAGAGGTGTTTAATACTTCTTTGTAAAAACCAGGGTACATCTTGATTTGCCCTGGACGGTGACCGAGGCTGGACCGAGGCGCCTCTGGGCTGGCATGCACCCCACACGGTGCCACTGGGCCATGTCTCGGGCCTCACGGGGCAGGGGGAAGGAATGTGAATGGACCAGCCTAGGGGGTGCAGTGGTGGGGGCCCGTGGAGCTGGGCTCAAGCTGCCTGGGGAGGGCGGGGTGCCAGGGGTGGTCCCGGGGGTACAGCTGGTGCAGGCTTGTGCTTGCCTGGGGGAGTTGGGGAGCTGGGGGCTCCTGGGAGAGGTGCATCCTCAGGCAGGGCCGCCCGGGGACCCCCAGCTTGCCTCTGTCCCTGGGCAAAGGAAGCGGGAGGCCACCTCCTCCGTTCAGGCCCCTCACCTCCCTGGGAAGCGGGGTGTGCGGGGCTGAAGCTGTCCAGGAGCTCTGGAGTGGGGCCGGGGCCCATCGCCAGCAACGGGCTGGGAGGGGACTTCAAACTAAGGGTCCTGGGGAGTCGGGGCGAGCCCCCTGCTCCCGCATCGCACCGTGAAGGCAGCAGGGCCAGGCAGGCCTGGGAGGGGAGGAGTTAGTGTTTCCACGAGCACCTTAGTGTTGGCCTGGCCCACTGGGAGGCTCGCCCCCCGCCCAGGGGGGGGGCTGCCGCCCAGCATGGCCTGGCTGGGGGCCCAGGCGCCCACGAGTCCAGAGAATGGAATGCAGGAGGCACGGCAGGGCCGCGCGGGGCGGGCGCGGGCGTCACTGGGGCAGGGGCACCAGCACCTCCACGTAGCTGAGGGGGAAGAAGCCCGACTGGCCGTTGAGCATGCCCTCGTACCAGTTCTCGTCGATCTGGTTGGTGAGCGTGATGAGGTCCCCTTCGCGGAAGCCCAGCTCCCCGTCGTTCTCGGGCTCGAAGTCGTACAGGGCCCTGCAGCTCGGCTGGTCCAGGGGTGCTGGGGGCACAGGGCTGCGATCAGGCCAGGCGCACCTCCCTCTGGGTGGCCTCGGCTCAGCCCGCCCAGACCCTGCCCGCTGCCTCATCTTCCCCGTCCCGCCCACCGTCCATATGCCCCGCCCACCGTCCATATGCCCCGCCCTCCCCTCCAAGTCTGCAGCACCCTGAGGTGCGGGGAAGACTGGACGACCGGCACGAGTAGACCTGCAGGGTCTGGCCCATGCTGTCCAGCTCCTGCCCTGGGAGCACCCCGGACTCACGCATGTTCCTGCTGGGGGTCCCCAGCAGAGGGGCCCTGGGCCAGCACCAGCCCCGGCCTCCCAGTCCAGGCTCCTGCCCCCGTTACCTGTGATCTTGGGGGCCGTGGCGCAGGGGAAGCCCCCGTTGGACTGCTCCGGCTCTCCCAGGTCAAAGGGCTCCCGGGGCTTGGGCTTGAATTCTCGCTTGGGGCGCGAAGAGGCCTCCCGCATCCTGGAAGGGGCCAGAGTGAAGGCCGAGGCCCCCGGTGGGACCAGCCAAGGGCATTCTCTCCAGAGCCGGGCGGCTGGTCCTGCCCACAGCCCCCCAACCCACCCGTGCGCACGTGAACCCCGCCCCCTGCGCCACAGGGAGGCTGCCAGCAGCCCAGCCGCATTGCATCGGCCCTGGTGACCAGGCCGCTCCAGGCCGGAAGGACACCGGATGTGGGAGGGGGGTGGGAGCCTCTCGGGGTCAGCTGGGCAGGTTCAGGCAGAGCCTGGGGGTCGGGGCGGTCCTTCGCTCCCCTCCGCAGACCCACCCCAACGTGGTCACTGGGGTCTCGGGGCCTGCCCAGCAACTGCAGACTGCGGGGAGGTGCGCTGCCTGCTGCTGCCGGCAGGGGCGGCCGGGACCGGGAGGACCGAGGGGGGCGGAGGAGGATGGAGCAGGAATCCGGGCGGAAACCCGCAGCCGGGCGCACCTGCGCTTGAGCTTGTCGGCCAGCTCGTCCAGGATCTGCACGGCCTGCCGGTGGTAGTCCAGCTGGGCGTCCACCAGCGCGGACAGCTGGCTCACCTGCTCCACCTGCAGGGCGGATCGGAGCGCTCAGAGCCGCCCCCCAAGCAGCCCGCGCCCGTCCAGCAGCCCCGGAGCGGAGCGGCCCACGCACGTCGGTCTCCAGCAGGTTGTGCATGCTGGTCTCCGCCACCTCCTTGGACTCCTCGAACTTCTCCAGGGCCTGGCGCAGCTCCTCATCCGGGATCTTGCCCTGCCGCTTCTTCTTGTAGTCGAAGTCCAGCCGGCGGCGTGCCC